TTGCACTGATGTGCCACAGTTGGCAATTTCAATTTCAAAGCATTAACTTTGGGGAAAAAAACACCCACAGAAAATTAATCACAGATATAATGTATGCACCTGGAATAAGAAAGACCATGAGCATTTTCATGCTGGTTGTACAATTCTCAGCCACATCTTGGACACACGACAGCATGGCAAAGGAGAGATGTCCACCTCACTGTATCTGTAGGTCCGCCATGATAGACGACATATATTCGTTGGTGGAAGCTGTGATGAAGTGCCAAGCAAATAGTTGAGTAACTAACCCATTTGAACCAGAGCTTTTTATTCTATTATTTTGATAGGAAAATATTATGTTTCATGATAAAAATCCAAGTTTTGTTGCAGGGGGATGAAATGAGTTCAAACCCACACACCTCCAACTTATGTATTCTAAGACCAGGCAACAATATGAATGTCATAACTTTAGTGTTATATTAATGGGAAGCAAGTTCATCTATCTCTGCTTAGATGAGTTAATATTCAACTGACAAAATATCTGGATGTCACTTATTTAGGATTATTTATAATTTCATCCATCTTAGATTTATTTTTTCAGATGTGAACTCTTAGTGGGTACCATGATGGTGGACAACAGGCAGAAAGTTCTTTTTTTTATTTTTTTATTTTTTTAGGCATGATTTGGGTTGTAACAAAGAATAAGGAAAAATAGCTTGGTGGCCTTACAATAGGGGTCCTAGGGGCCACTTAAGTATGAAAACCGCCAAGAAAATATCTAATTTCCCATTTAAATTGAACAAAAACGCATGTGGGTGATCTCATTACAAATAATCTAATTACTGAGTGGCCAAAACAACAGATAATTGAAAACTTTCTATTTTCCAGAGCTGAACATCACAGCAGGCAACATGACAGATGATGACTACATGGATCTCATGGACTTATACCCGCAGTACAAGGCCCAGATCTACATCCAAAAAATCATCTACCCTCTTCTCCTGGTCATTGGCACCATAGGGAACTGCCTGGCCTTCCTCATCATGCGGAAGTTCAGCAAGAGGGTGACGTCCACGTGTCTGTACCTGACGGTTTTGGCAGTAGTGGACACTATCGAGTTATATGTGAGGTGCGGCAATGAATGGCTGAGGACAGTCGCCAAAATCGACCTCTCGTCAACATTGCTGATTTCCTCAGCAGCAGTTTGTAAAGTGTATACATTTATTCTGAATTTTGTTTCCCATCTTGCCCAGTGGTATATTGTAGCCTTGGCAACCGAATGTTTTATTTCGATGTGGAATTCTAAGAAGGCTCATTGGATGTGTACATATGAGAGGGCAGTAGCAGTCACTTTGTTGCTAACAGTCATCTTGGTGTTTGTCAATGGTCACTTCTTCTGGACCTATGTTTTAATCAAACCCTCTCAGACAAGCGAAGAGTACACGTGTAGCTTTAACGACAATGCCAAAGACTTTAAAGAAATCTACAGATATCTGGAGTTTGTTGGGGCAGAATGCGTGCCCCTCGGCATCGTCTTAGTGTTGACGATCTTCATGATAATTCGACTGGTTCAGAAAAAAGAATTTACGCAGCCAGAGCGAACCAAATTCTACATAGATCCAACTTGCTACATGCAGTGTTTAAAGATTTTCTTCAGCACGTGTGTTCTGTTCATTGTGTGTTCTGTCATGTCACTGGTTTTTGAGGTGTACAGATATCTGAGTGGGGAAAACCAAGATCCTGAAATAGTGGATATTGACAGTGTATTGAATGAAGGACTTGCAAATGAGATTGTCAAAGTTATCCCAGGATTTGTTCTGCGAAGTTGTAAATTCTTTATTTACGTCAGCTGTAGTGCTTGTTTCCGTAGGGAGTTAAGGTGGTTATTTTCAAAGGGCTGCCGATGCGGACGCCGCCGGGGTAGCATGGAAGTTGGCTGCCATCAGAGGAAGCCATTGATTAATTCAGCAAGTAAAGACAGCAGTGCCATTTCTGGCGTTTCCACTGACACAGAAGTCAAAATTCTAGAAACAGCAGCGTAGTTCC